CGGTGATGGATGTGATGTACACTGATTTGTGACAGACAGGTTGGAGCAAGAACTCAAATGACCAGCAGGATTTGAGATGATGCATTTCTGTCATATTGCTGGAGCATCTGACCACACCGCAGCTAATTGGAGAATGTGGTTATTGGATTTGTTTTGTGCTTATTATGAAGCATTGACCTTAAATGCTTGACTGCTCATGCAGTGCAGTACGAGTTTCGGTCTACCTAGACACCATATTTGGGCATCATAGGGGAGTTCAGATGTTCGGTATAAGTCTCTGCACACTCCTATGATGTGCAAAAATGTGTGTTTTGGCATTGATGATTTTGAATAAAAAAATGTTGAATGTCCAAATATGGACAAAAATAGATTTGCACATTTGATCTCAACTATTATACACAGAAATCAATTTGAAAATTCAATAAATTGCTTAGAACATTTATATGATGCCCAAAAAGCACTTTCAGTGTCAGAACATATCTAAAATTATTTCAATGCCTAATTATACACAAAAAAAAAAAATCTAAATGTGAGTTCAAATGCAACTATGATGCACAGAAAACATTTTGATATGGGTAAAAATTTGTTTGAGCATTTGAATGTACACAAGATGCACTAAAATTTTGAAACATTTGAATGGTACCCAAAAATATTTTTTAATGTTCATTTCATGCACAAAAATCTCTAAAAAAAAATTGTAATGGTGGCTCAATGCAGCTGTACTGTATGAGGTGCAGAAAAAGAAATGCCTAGAAATCAGTTTGAGCGTTTGAATACAATTATGATGCACACGTATTGTTTGATGATACCCAAAATAAATACATACATGCATACATAGTTTCAACCCACACAAGAGAAAGAGAGAGGAAGGGATGAACAAGGTTGGGTGGAGAGATAATTAAGGTTGGAGTGAGAGAGATTATGGGAGAAATTAGGAGGAAGGCGGTTGTTGAGGGGGATGTGGACATCTTCAAGGTCACGCTTTCGTGTTGAGATGAGCGATAGTGATGGAGAAAAATATCAGAGAGGCTCAGGGGTTGAGGAGATGGTCCAGAGATAATGAAAAGAAAAATGATCTTTGTCTAACCCCCTCCCTTCATCTTCAAAGAGAGCTTTATTATGCATTACACAGTTTGTGTTGTTGGTGTTGGTTAACTCTGATGATGTTCATTTGTAATTGTCAGCTGAAAATGAATCATTTTGTTGGATGACTTCATATCTGTTTATTTATTAATTCATCCCAGAAAGCGTATTAGAGTTTAGGATTTTCTATTTCGAGGTGGTTTCGCATGTCATACACTTCCTGCATTTAGTCGACAATGATTGTGACAGTGCTCAATCATCTGTCAGTATTCGTATGCTTCAGACACGGGTCACGACGAGGCGTTCCCCCATAGCGACCCCTAGAGGACGCAGTGTCTCGTTCCCTACTCAGGGAACCATGGTTACATAAGTAACCTGAGACGTTTTAAATGACCACGTGTTTTGTGCAATCAGTTATTGACTTAATATATAATATTAATAATTAATTTTATTATCATTATTTTAATGATATTTATTTGCCTACTTTTGTGCATTAAAAAAAGTTTCATACCGTGTAAGGTCATCATTTCAGCCCTAATGTAAAATCTCGGTCTCAAAGCAAAACCAAATGAGAACCACAGGTTAAAGCAAATGAGTTAATTTCCATCATTCCACTAGAAAATACAGAGCCTGAATTGGCAACTAACATTAATAGCTGGTCTCTATGGGTGCTGTGAGTGAAAAACATAGCAGCTACACGAACAGGTGTTTCTTGCCATAGATGTTAATGTCGTATATTTGAATACTTTAATTTTTATTTCAAATACTGTGTAAACAGTGTGTTTTGGTAAAAAGCATGTCTAACCAAATTAATTTGTCCCTAATGTCTTTAAAGTGCTCTACATCACAGTAGCATTTGCTCTTTTTTATCACTCCACGGTAGAGTGTTTTGATAGTGCATTACTTTCTATTAAAAGTTATTTTGAAATTCCATTTAGCCAATCAATCTAACCACTTATGTTCTGTTTTTCCCCAAGGCTGATTGATTCAGTTGGTTTTATATGACTTATTTAATGTTTGATTGGGAAGTTTGATCAGGAAGAGCCTGTGGCAAGGAAATCTGCTAATCTGCAATGTAACACTCTGTAATTGCCTCAAGAGGCCTGGTGGTTTTGATATCTCTGTGTGATTAAACACCAAGAAACCGCACCACCGCACTGCCTCACTCAGAACAAACGTCAGCACAAAACAGAAGAGAAGACATATTTAAAGTAGCGTCTAAGGAAAGATACAATACAGTCATGTGTGTGTATATATATATATATTACGTAATCAGATTCCAAAAATTAAGTGCTTGTAATTAGATTAAATTACATTTTAAAATACTTGTAATCAGACTAGTTTTTTTTTATTGATTACATATTATTCACACAATAGCAATAAATTATTCATAATTTATTGATTCTCCCAAATACATCTTTTTCATCTTTTATATGTTCCTTTTTAAAATAGCCTACTGCTTATATACACTCAGAAAGTCTTCCAGTTTTGTGGACATTCACACAAAGACCAGTCACTAGTCAGGTGGCTACACAGCATTTGACCACTGGATTTACAAAAATCATTTCAAGTGTTTCAACATTGCATCAACTTCTGATGAACACATTAATGTTTATTTGAATTATCACTCCGTAGGTTATTTAACCCTCTATTACAATGTCTTTGGAAGGCCTTTGTCTTTCAAACACATTAAAATGCACAAATTCACATTATTTCTTATTTACATGTAATGCAGGCATTCCCAGACGTTTTTGTCATCTGAACTTCTTTCACCTAATGTATTTACTTGAACCCCTGAGATTTTAAAATAAATATTTAATAATTAAGTAACACATTGCATGTTCACGGATCTCTGACATTGGTTAATGGTCACATGACATGCAGGTAAACAAATAAAATAATTCATTTTTTAGGAAGTGTTTTATTTAGATTTATGTTACTTTAAAGTTATTTATTTTAATTTTACATTACATTGCATTTTTAAATGTTTTCATTTTAATTAATCAAAAAGTAGTCTGATTATATTACCTGAAATGTGTAATGAAATGTGTAATATATATATACATACATACATGGGCGTCGGAACCATTGAATGAGGGTGGGACAGGACCCACCCACTTTTGAAGACCAATGATATTGGACCCACCCACTTTTACCGTCTCTAATTCAGCAAATATGTGTACTTGTACTACAGTCAAATCCATTCCACATGACGAATGCCCTAATAAATTAAACTCCATTTAGCTACAGCCTTGAATTCCACGCTGCTGCTTCCTCAAATCCAT